TGTGTGTGTGTGTGTGTGTGTGTGTGTGTGTGTGTGTGTGTGTGTGTAACTTTAGTCCAAGGTAGCCTTCCCAGGTAAACCTCATTTTCACACACTAGGACTCTACAACTTTTGGTACACTGCGAAACTAGGCCTCAGAGGTGGCGAAACAGATACAAGTTCAAGATGACTAGCATTACTATACTTTCTCTTCACTGGACTAGGACTCAGAATAGTCCTGAGTCTGCCACTAACTTGATATAAAACCTCAGACAGAGTTATTTAAACTCTCTGGGCCTTATTTCTTCATTTGAAGGAAGAGATTATGCCAAGCCGATGACCCTTAATGAGAATGGTATACCATGCCACAATTTTCATGCATGTAACACCAGAAAATAAGATATGTGATCTGTTCCAATGCCCTTACTCTGTAATGGGGCAGATGACATGCAGTGAGACCGACAAAGTGGAGTATAAAACATTCATACTCTTTCTCTGAATTTGGTGCAGTCCTCTAACTTGTGCTTACTTTAGCAGATCTAAGTTCCCAGAGAGAGACTACCAGCACCACAGTTACATTCAAATTCTTTCAGGATCCAAGAGGTGATTCTTGATGGAACACTTTACCTACAGACCACTCTAGCTTTCCCATTCATTGTGTTTTCTACCTATACAGCCAGCCAGCCACAGCAATAATACTTTTAAGTTTTAAACATAACTGTTTACTCAATAGGTAAAAGAAATACAATTTTGGATACTAATATTAAAGCAAATACACAAACAGTAAAATACATCATGATATACATATAGACCTAGACCACATTCTCTCACCAATGCACTTACTAACTCTGGGCACATACTTATGGGAACCTGGCATGGAAATACGTGAGGAAAGAAAACCCAGGTGTTTAGGGTAACTCTAGCCTGCAGGGCTTACATGATTTTTGTCCTTTCTGGAACATCTACACCACCCACCCAATGGTTTCTTCACTTGCTACTTAGCTGTTCATCTTCATCAGCTGAGCAAATACTCTTCTCTACTCAAACATAACCTTTATCAGCTCTTTCAATGAACCATCACCCTTTAAAGAGTATTTAAGTGTTAGTTCTTCATGAAAATGACTAGCAGTTCTGTCATAAGCCAAGCTTATAATACCGGACTATCTCAGGATTATATGGATCAGCCAGTTCAGTTATTTACTGACCAGGATACTGGGATTTCCAGTGAGATTAGAACTCACAGCATCATAGCTGAGCTTCATTCATTCTTTAAGCTAGCTCACCACCAGGAGGCTCACCACAGCCCCTAGAGAAACCCCTCTGCTTTTCCTTTGCAAGCCAGAGGTAAGCAGAGAGCAAGCTCTCATGAAAAGCTTTGCCTTTCCCAAACTCTAAGAGTGCTAAAGAGCAATCTTTGTCACCGGAACTCTGCTGATAAAATCCTTTCTTTCTATGACTAGTCGGGAATTTGTAGTGGGAATCCCAGCTGATTGCTCCTAGTTGCTGCCTCTCTGGTGCTTCAGTGGAACACCTCTTCAGCCCTCCTGCTCTTTCTTCAAGTTTTCTCCACTCCTGCTGCTGTCTTGAGCGATTCCTCTTGTCCTTCCCAACAGCTTGAATGAGAACTTCTTGACTCTCAGTTACTCACTTTATCATTAAAAGTCACAACCTCCCAAATTTCTGCTATCAAATAAACAGTTCTTTTTCAATTGAAGTTTATAGAATTTCTTATTTTCTTAGTTTTACCTTCCGTAGTTATAAAGCATTCACATGCAAATTGGCAGGCATACCATCATGCTTTGCAACTCCCTAACGTTCCCCACAACATAGTCTTTTTGGTACCCTTGAAACTTTTCTGCAAACTCACATTTTTCTAGTTTTAATAAATAGATTTTCTAACTTTAATAAATACAGGGTCTTTCCTTGCCTCTTTGTAACATTAAACTATTCCCACGTAAGTGAGAAATCATTCTACATTGGACAACTTCTGAGTCCTCACTTCTACACTGCTTTCCAAAACTGTCTAAATCTTGTATTAAAGCTGTGTTTCTTAAAAGAAATTTATTTTTCCGCTCTTAATAAGCATCAAAATGTTCATTGGCATATACCAGATGCTTTGCCTTCCTTTACTTTCATTTTTTTTAATGATTTTTTTTCTTTTGGCTAGACAATGGGGTTAAGTGACTTGCCCAAAGTCACACAGCTAGTAAGTGTCAAGTATCTGAGGCTGGATTTGAACTCAGGTCCTCCTAACTTGAGGGCCAGTGCTCCTTCCTTTACATAAAAACACTTTCTGCCCTTTTCATCATTAACTGCTCTTTAGGAAAAGGGTTGTAAATAGACATATGCTTTATACTAGACAGGCCTGGAAATTTCCCCAGGCCCTCCCCTGTGGGCAGCTGTTTGCTGCTTCATCTGTGTCTTCAGATGCTTTCTTCACTGCAAGTACTGGGGAAATAAAGAAAGAGGAAGGGTAAGGGGCAGAGGAAAGGAAGAGAGGACAGAAATTTTAAGGCCCAGATATAGGGCCCAATGTTGTTGCCAACTTAAAAATTCAATGCACCTCAGTTCCTGAAGGCAAAGGGTACTACGCCATGAGCAAATATATATATATATGTATGTGTGTATATATATATATATATATATATATATATTTGAAAGCCATTGGGTTAGATGATCTCTACAGTTTCTTCTGGTTCTCAAAGTCTATCATTCCATCAACGGGAAAGGACAGATGGTCCATTTTTGCTCTTCTAAAGGAGTTCACAAACTAGAGGAAATAGTTTCTATTTCATTCTTTTTTTTGTTTGGTTGTTTTTGTGGTTACCATTTGCAGTTGGTGGCAGAGAATAGTAGAAAGAGCCCAGAACTTAGAATCAGGCAAGACCTGGGTTCAGATCCTGGCTCTGATATGTGGAATTAGTATGACAAATTGCAAGTCACCTAACCTCTCCCACCTTGTTTCCTCATTTGTAAAATGGGGGAGGGGAGAGATAATGGCTGTTATATTTGCCTCACAGGGATTGTTGTAAGAATCAAATAATATAATGTATACAAAACTGCAATTCAGAAATGATATATAAATATTAGTTAACAGTGTTATTCTCATACTTGGCTTTTTTTCCCCTGTTCCCTGACAGAATTTTTATGCTATAATGTCTTCTTTATTCTTTTTTCCTTGGCTGTTCCTCTAGCATCTGGTTTTAGGTGGAATTTTACAATCCACTTTTCCCCCCTTTCTACAAAAATTTAGCTTCCACTGACTTCAGTTCATGACTACCCACTGCCAAGCATTTATTTATTACAGGTGGCATTGGGAGGGGAAGGAGGTTATTGTGGTGATTTAACTGGGGTATGAAATGTCCTAAGCAAACTTTAAAAAGGGCTGCTTTGCAATCCCACTGCTAGGTCTACATCCCAAAGACATCTAAAAAGGGCGGAGGGAAGACTTGTTTGTATAAAAATATTTATAGCAGCTCTGTTTGTAGTGGCAATGAATTTAAAATCAAAGGGATGCCCATCAATTGGGGAATGACTGAACAAGTTGTGGTACATGAACGTAATGGAATGTATATCTGATTGCTTACATCTCAGGGAGGGGGAGGGCAGTGAGGGAGGGAGGGAATTTGGAACTCAAAACTTTAAATAAAAATGTTTTTAAAAAAAGACCCACCAGAAAAGGGGGGGGGGGGCGGCTTTGGAAAAGACCAGCACATGGTACATTTTTGGGAGCTCTGAGATTGTTTTTATTTCTTATACAATCTGTTTGCTTATTTTCTCACAGGGAGCTCATATGGAAATTGAAGTGATAGCTGTGCAGGGACCACTCACTTGTGTCTGATTATGAAAAGAAGTCTCATCTGTGCTGACAATGTCATTTGGGCTAGGGCCAACATGGTTCTTCATCTTCTTTTAATTTTAGCAGTTTTTGTTGAAAATTCTCAGCTTTAACAAAATGGCATTTCAATGACTAACTTTAGAAGTTGTCCCAAGTTAGGGGTAAAAACAGAATGAAAGTTATCACAACTTTAAATTGGAAAACAGAGAGCCAAACAGAAATAAGAAATCAGCCAGACAGGGAGGAGATGGGGGTGGGGGAGGAGGGGAGGCTGGAACAGTATTTAAATAGCTTCACTCACATACCCTTCCACCTATCCTGAAGGATAAAGAGTTGTCATAGTACCACTCATACAAGGTTTCTTAGCTTTTTTGGGGTCATGGACCCTTTGGCACTCTGGTGATGCCCATGGACCCCTTCTTTGAGTAATGAGCATTGCTTACATTAATAATAAGGAAATACTAAATTAGACTTAGAGATTAGTGAAAATAGAGATATAATTTCTTTCCCTACTCCTTTGCACAGACTTCCTGAAACCTGTCCAGGAAGCCCTTAGGAGTCCATGGACCCCTGTTTAAGAACCACTGCACTAGGAGAACTATGGGATAGTGGAAGGAGCCCAGATTTGAACTGTGTTTGAAGACCAGTTCTGCCATTTACTGTCCATGGGACCTTGGACAAATAATAGTTTCCTCATCTCGAACTTACTGGCTCAGTTTCCTCTTCTGTAAAAGGGATTTAGATTATATGGCCTTTGAGATCCCTTTAAATTCTAAATCAATGAGCTGTAAAATGGGGATAATTCCTATCATTCTTCTATCATAGTGTAGTCATGGGGATCAAGTCATATCACATTTAAATTGCCTTGTGAACTATGACGCTCCTTGAGTCAGCTGTTAGCATTAGAAGCCAGGAAGGAAGTCAGTGCTTTCCTCTGGACAAAAATATAGAATGGTGGCCAAAGTGGAACTCCCAGAGAGGTATACCAAAAGTAGGAGATACTGTCCAAATATCCACTAACCAGTGCTCCCTGTATTCTGAGAGACTTTATTCTTTTTCAGCCTTGTTCATCAGAGAATTTATCTAATGATATTTACATTATGAAGTCTGGGTGTTTAGGGATCAAAATGTGAATTTCATCATATTATATGTCATTTATATCTTATCTTATCACTTATAATCACATCACTTATGGTACCTACCTCTAGTTTAATACAATGCTAAATAAAAAGCAAAGAAAAGTATGAAATGTGGACACATTTCTAAGGAAGTTGGACTTGTATGAATGTCCAACTTTTTTTTGGAACAAAAACTCGCATACATTGAATTGAATCCTATTGGGTTAGGTAATTAAAACTTTGAAGACTTTCTCATAATCATCCTTTTTGACTTCTCTGCAGCCTTTGACACTGTTGATCATCCTCTTCTCCATTAGGTTTTCATGGCCCTGCTGTCTCCTGGTTCTCTTCCTATCTGTCCATTCCTTCTCAGTATCCTTTGCTGGGTCTTCATCTACAAACCCATGTGTATCTCCCAAGGCACTGTCCTAGATACTCTTCTCTTTTCCCTTTATACTATTTTACTTGATCTTATCAGATCCCAGCAGTTTAACTATCCTTTCTATGTAAATGAGGCTCAGATTCCTAATCTCTCTCCCAATTTCTAGTTCTGCATCACCCACTGAATTTTGGACTTCTCAAATTAGATGTCTGTGTCCAAAACATAGTTCATTATCTTTCCTCCCAAACCGTCTCCTCTTTCCAACTTTCTTATTACTATGGAGAGCTCTCCCTACTAGGATGTCACCTTTGACTTCTTACCCCACATATCTAATCCCTGCCTTCACAATATCACGTGTACATATCTGTACATATATGTGTGTATATCTCCTCCTATTCACTCATATATCACCCACCCTAATTCATGCCCTCACTACCTCTTACCTGAATAATTGCAATAATCTTTTAAGTAGTCTTCCTGCCACAGGTCTTTCACACTCAGCTGCCAAAGTGATCTTCCTAAAGTGCAGGTCCTACCTTTCCAATGTTCTTCCACTTTACTCCCCTCCACATAATGTGTGACGCAACAACACTGGCCTCCGTGCTGCTTCTCAAACGTGATTTATCTCCTAGCTTCACGCCACCTACAGTGGGAAATTTTCTCCCTCTGCAGTTCTGCCTCCTTTTTTCTCTGCCTTCTTCAAAACTCAGCTCAAATCCCACTTTTTCTGCAGGAGGCCTTTCCCAGTTCTTCCCACTGCTAAAACTTTCCCTCTGATATTAACTTCCATTTATACTGTATATGTATTATATGTAAGAGAAGGAAACAAACATTTATTAAATGCTGACTGTGCGCCAGGCTCTGTACTAAACACTTCACTCATCTCATTTGATTCTCACAAAAACCCAGGAGGTAGGTGGTATTATTATTTTTCTGTTTTACGGTTGAGGGAACTACAGCAGACAGATGTTAAGTGACTTGCCCAGGGTCACACAGCTAGTAAGTGTCTGAAGCTGGATTTAAATTCAAGTATGTACCTAGTTATTGGCATGTTTTCTCCCCCATTTGTATGTGAGGTCCTTGAGGGGCAGGGACTATGATCTTGATTTTTTTCCCCTTATTTACATGAATGATTGTATGATAAAGTATTTATTAAGCACTTTCTACATGCCAGGCACTGTGTTAAGTACTAGGGATACAAATACAAGCAAATGATGCTGTCCCTACCCTTAAGGAGCTTACATTTTAATGGAGGAATAGGAGGCATAAAGAAGGGGGGTGGAGGTACCTGTGGGATGGTGTGGTTTTAAAATGGCTAGAAAGTGAAATGGAGACCCACTTCTAGACAAAAATAGGCAAAAGCTCACCTATCAAAACCCAGGCTGGTACCGGAGCAAAGTTCATGGTTCAAGTGGTTCAGGAAGACAATGGCTGGAGTACAGGTGGAATAATTTTAAATTTCATATCTAACATTAAAATGGCCACCCCGTAAAAGTCAAACCAGCCCAAAAGGCCAAAAAGTCAGTAAGACTTTTCCCTTCACCCTTCTGCCAACTATCCCCACTTTCCACCTGCTGCTGTCTAGAAGAATCCTGCTGTCCCATCCATCTACTGTCCTCGCCTCATCCCAGGGCTGGTCCATGGTGAAGTCCGATGGTAAAACTGGTGAAGGTGAGACAGGAGCAGAGGATAATGCCTTGTGGACAATTCCTGTCACCCCACTACTCCATCCCAACAACATTGCTCTGCTTCTCTATGACTACAGCTGTTGCTTCCCCAGCCCCCCTTTTCTTTTTGGCCATATTGGATCTTTCCAAAGTACCTTTTCTGCTCTTGGGGAGTTACCATCTGCAAAGGGTTATGTCAACAAGGATGCCTTCTCAAGTCTGTCCTTCAGGGTTAAAGGCAAGGGGCAATTGTGTCCTGAGGCCTTTCCCCATCTCCCATTGGGGGAGAGGTCCTAAACAGGCAGAGTAACAGATGACTGAGACCCCACTAGAACCTATGACTTGGTAAAAGCAAGAACGCTACACTTCTTTTTCCCTTGACCAGATACCAAGTTCATCCCTGGCAAGGGAATTTAAAGATTTCTCCCAACTACCTCTGAAGAGGTCTAGAGGTTTTGGGGTGCTCGAATGGACCCCCAAGATCGCGGCGCTGGACCCTGCCTGAAAGAATTCAACTCAAATCTTCCAGCCAGAGAAAAAGTTTATTAGAGATAAAACATATAGGCCATTCTCTTAAGGAACCTCAACATTAGTAACACCTGTAGGGATGAGCGGGCATAAGACAGTGTCAGCCTTTTGGGCATGAGAAAATCTCAGCCTCTCAATAGAGACAAGATGGACCCTATAGACAGAAAGACTGTGGGAGGGATCTAGGAGTGGCCAAGTAGTTTGGGGTGATGGGAGGAAAGACATGAGATCTGGATGGGAGTGGCAAGTAAGCTGGAGTGAACAGAACTCCTGGGACCTGAACTTCTGCAGCCTAGCTAGGATTAAGGGTGGGAAATGGCCAGGGGCCATAGGGAGGTAAAACAATGGAGGGGAGATTGGGTGTAGCCACAATGAAAGGCCAGTTGATGGGATTATAGCCTCAGGGGAATGCCAGAGATTTGGCCATGTGTGAAAGTCCAGGGTTTTTCCTTTCTGGGGCCCAGATTCCAACCCCATCATTCCCATCTTATATACATTAAAATAACTTTGGGTGGCCAGAAGAAGGTGGGGGGTGGTTGAAAAAAGGGTCTAGGTGAGAATTCCTTGGAAGGTCTGATATTAAATAAACAATGGGAATAGATAATGGAGGGAACTGGAAGGTAGAAGTTTGCTTTCAAAGGGAGATAAAGAGAATAGATAAGGAACCCAAAAGTTTAAGGGTGTTCTTCGTAGACAAAAGGGATCCAGATTCTTTTTAGGGCTAGGGAGGAAAGGTGCATCTGAATAAGATCAAAAGGCAAGGCTATGGCTTTGGAAGGGAGATAAGGGGAGTCTATAAGCAATCTAAAAGTTTAAGGGTTTTCAACAAATGGGAGCCAAATTCCTTTTGGCGAAAAGGGGCAAAGATCTTGGCTTCTGAAACTGAATGATGGGTGTATAACCCTGTCACCTCCCAGACTCAATTAATGTATAAGGCAGCCAAGATGTTGGTATCCTATAGGGAGAGATGCTTAGCTCCCACTTTGAGGAGACAGTAATTGAGGGGGAGTAGATGAACCAGAAGAGTTCCGAGTGTTGTGGTCCTCCTCCCCTTATTTCTCTTGTAGCCATTTCCAATGAGCCAGACCCTGGTTCAAGATCTGGGAAATGAGGATGTTAAACTGGAGAAGAGAAAACTGGCAGGGATCACGATAGCTGTGTTGAAAGATTCAAAGGATTATCTTACAAAAGAGGAATCGGACCTATTCTGCTTGGTCCCGGACAGCAGAATTAGACTAATGGGTGGTTACAAGTTACAGGGAAACAAAATTGCTAAATAAATTCTTTATTTAACCATAACCTCTGTGTAACATGACAGAGAGCAGACTGCCATGAATATAGATGTAAACGTCAGGGAAGAGAATTTATTCATCTAACAGGTAGTTATTAAGCACCTTTCCTGTATAAGGTACTTTGCCAGGTGCTGGGGGGAGGGATATGAAGATATATAGTCCCTGCCTCCAAAGGTTTCTAATCCATCGGTAAGTGAAGAAAATAGAAAACAAATGGTATTGAAAGATAGAAAGATTCTGTGCATAAAAAAAATTATTTAAAAAATATGCCCTACTTAAGCCATGTGGAACAAAACTTAACACTTTAGGCTTGGTTGCTGCCTTACACACACAACGATGTTTACACATAGATTGAGAATTGTTGGCACTTCCTCCATAATATAATATCCTTAAATTCTCCATGAAAAAATGAATTTCACAAATGAGTGGTTCTTAAATGAGTATGTTTAATGTTCAGAGGCTGTAGCCTAAAGTGTTCAACAAGACCAAACTGCTTTTTATCTTTTTAACTGCCTCAATTATATTTTATTGCAACATTTTTTAAAAGTAAGAAAACTCCCTTCTGCTTCATTTGTTACTATTGGAACCATTGTAAATAAACAACTACTCTGTGTATAACTACAGTGCAGAAAAAACCTATGCTTTTTGTTGCCAGGCCAGAAAACGAGGATCATGGATTTAAAGCAGAAAAAGTCCAAAGGGATCATCTAGTCCAATTCCCCTCATTTTACTAATGGGGAAAATCATGGCCCAGATTAAGTGACTGACTTACCGGAGATCACATAGGCATTAAGTGGTAGAGCAAGAATTAAAACCCAGGCCTTCTGGTTCCAAAGCCAGTCTACCACCAGGACACTATGTTATTTCCCAAGACTTCTCCCCAGAACCACTAAAAAATATAACTCAGAAATCCAGATTACCTAAGATTCTTTCCTACTGACCCCAAAGAAGGCAAAAATACACAAAACCTTAGCTTGTAAACCAAGGCTGCCTTCCAGTTTCCTTTCCCACCGCACGTCCCCTTAGTTCTTTGGTCAATGTTGCAGTAAGACATTTGGCCCTTGAGCTCAGTAAAGAGCACTGAGTGATGAGACCCAGTTGCTGTAGCAGCTCTGTTCTGTGACATTTGGATTCAGTCAAAGGGCTCCACTTGAGCACCTAGAGGGTCCTCATTAAGTCACTTAATGGAATGAGGGGTTAGATAGGATATTCTAAAGTCTTTTCTAGCCTTTATTCAGTACATCTTTGGTGGAGTGGTGGGGAGTGGAGGTGAAAGTCTCCAACCACCTCCCGACCTCGTACTACTTAAGAATTTCCTAAGGGAAGCTCATGAGAGACTCTTCCCTTTACCCTCTTTTAAATACTTTGAAGAAAACAGGGTTCTTTAGGGTCAATATATCTAAGAAAAAGCAATTTAATTTCCATTGTTTTTTCCCATATTGATAAAACAGTATATTGTACTTTTTTGGAGGCTACCATTATTTGCGCTTTATTCAAAAGAAAATTCTGAAATGTATCTACATTCTAAGATAAATGAAACAAATTTTTTCAATGCAAAAAATATTTCCCATAAAATGGATTTCTTTACTCATGATACTTTCTAATCTGTAGGCAGGGTCATGTACAGGGATGGCAGGCTTATGAATGTCAACAGCACACTGTGTATTTTACAGAGGGGGAAAAGGAGGGGAAAGGTTATTAGTAAGTTCACACTAATAAATGACTAGGTGCCTTTTACAAGGTATTTAAAAATGGCTTCATAACACCTGGGAACTTGGAGCATTTACAAGGCACAGGAGAAGCTCCCTAGTTGTTAGGTGTTAACAGCTTGTAAGAACTGATTCAAGTCCTTCCCAATAAAGTTAGTGGAGAGTGTTATACTTGGGGAAACTAGAGTTCCCCAATGATAAATCTAAAAGAAAAAAATCGCAGACATTCACAGAACCAAACACTTCCCTTTGACTGGATTAGTTCTGCCTTACAATCAAAGTCTTTTTTTTGCCTTGAGAATGTTAAAAACTAAACGTTCTAACTTTGTATAAACACAGAAAGGGAAGGGTAGGCTGCAAAGTGAGATTAAAGTAGACCTCATCAAGAAAAATGCTCTGGCAGCTTCAGCACAATGGTAGCCAATCTTCCCTTGTATCTAATTCTCAGTGTTTAATTAACTTGCAGTGGTATGCCAATAGAAATGAGTGCAGGGGTGGGGAACCTGTGGCCTCAAAGCCACACGTAGCCCTCTAGGTCCTCAAGTGTGGCCCTTTGAATCCAAACTTCATGAAACAAATCTCGAGGCCACATGTGGCCTTGAGGTTGAAGGTTCCCCACCCCGGTAGGGATTTATTTCCAAGCTGCTGCCTTTTATGAAAGGGAATCCAGAATCCATGTTTTGCCCATCAAACCAAACCACCTGATTATATTTGAGCAGAGCAGGATCCTTGCAATAATGGCTAAAACAGGTTCCTCCAAATGTTATTATTTTTCACAAACAGAAACCCTATCATTGCTACATGCTTCAAAATAAAGTTTAACTGACTGAATCTATGTAACTCCATTTTGGTTTTAACCAGACTGTTCATGGTTTATTTAACTTCCTTTTATTAGCACTAAGTTCTATAAAATACACTAAAAGAATCTTTAAAAGCAGTTTTTAAGTCAGTGCCAAGTACAGAACAGTGCTACAGGAATGTTAAGACTAGCATGACTGTTTTGACTCTTCTGAGATCATTAGCATTGTCCAGGGTATCTTTGCAGTAAAAAATTAATATCAAGTCAGAGTATTCAACTCCACCTCCCTTTCAACAGTTGCCTTCCAGAGCCAAATAGGAAGAAGAGGTTGAAATGCCTTTATTTTTCCCCCAAACTACCCATAGGGACACTGAGCCCAATGTGAGGAGCTACTGGCAGATCAAAGGGCTATTTGGGGCTAACGCTTCCGAGCAAACTGGGGTCTTGACCTAGATGCTTCCAGGTTTGCGTTCGACATCTTCTGCAGATATCTCTCCCTTAGGACATCATCTACTCATGATCCCCCATATAACCAGTTGCAGAGAATTTAATAATGTTATCATAATGGGCAGGCTACTATGAAAAAAAGGAGGTACACAAGGTCTGGAAAACTCAGTTCTAATCCCAGTTTTGCTAATAATTCTTTGGGAAACCTTGAATGAGAAAGACATTTAGAGACATTTAGACATTTGCTCAAGGTACATCTTTTGCAAAATGGAGATAAGAATACTAATGTCCCTTCACAGTATGGAGAACTCTGAAATATTCAGTGGTTCATAAGCCATAAGGAACAGAAATAATTCTGTTTGAGGAAATAATTGGTTGTTTTTTAAAATGCTTTTATGCAAGGCAAAGTGCGGCATGTGTTGAGTTTTGTTATTCACGTGACAATCCATTAAATAAAGGATAAATCTTTTGAAACTCTTAATGAAAAAATGACTTAGGAACTAGTCCTATGATTAAAGAGTAAATCCAGAAAATACCACAAATACCTATCAGCTTTTGGTGTATTTTACCTATAAATGATTGCAATCAACCTTTGTAAACAATGGAATCACCAATCAATTCAAAATATATTTTCAGCAACTGTATGCTTGTATAATGTAAATATATTCTCTGGAAAAGGAGCTCTATTTGTGTTTCAGCTGTGTAATACACATTTTTTAAAATAGATGGAATGGGCCCTACAAGGATCTCAAATATGAATGCTAATGCCTTTTTAAAATTTGTAAAATTTCACCATCACTTCCTGTATTGTTTCAAACTAGACTACTTTATTTCCAGTTTTTTTTAATTGATTGGACATTTGCTAAAGAAATTGTAGCATATGAAGATAACAGAATATTACTTCACTATAAGAAATGACAAATATGAGGAAATGAGAGAAACTTAGAAATACTGGTATGAACTGACTAATTGTGAAATAAACAGAACTATGAGAACAACATGCCCAATGACTAAAGTAATGTAAATGAAAAAAACACCAAAAGCCTGCAGGTATTCAGATTAACTGCAGAGACTAATCTTGGACCTGGAGAACAAATAATTAAAGGCACTTTCTCCTTCTTGGTAGAAAGGTGGAAGACTGTAAGCACAGAATGTTGTCAGGCTAGTTTTTCTTTTTCCATCTTTTTGCTTTTCTTTGTCATTGGCGGGATGGGAAGGGACAGTATTGGGAAATTCCTGTGTTATAAAAGACAAAAGGCATCCATAAAACTTTAAAACTCATTTCGCTGATAATTTTAATAAAGAAATACAGTCACTGGTTCCAAAATATTAAAATTTAAAGTTACAAAAATGCATTTTGTTAATAAGCTATGGCATAATTTCAGCAGTTTTGGCATTAAAAAAAGATTTTCTTAGATTTTACTGTTATTCTACGTAGTCATTTTTAAAAATTACATTTCTAAATAGGTTATTATGGATAGATTGGGATTCTATCATGATGTTGATTTTTTTTTTAATTTACTTTTAAAAGCTGCATAAAATATACAAGTTGAAAATCATATTCTATGTTTCCTTTTCTGGAAGGGTAACTATTCTGGTAACTTATCATCTACTTTAAAAATCAGCATTTTAAAATTTTGGTCATAAACTAGTATTAATCTGTTTAAATAAGAAAAAATAAGCCAATGTCTTTGATCATTTTGTATACCTGTGGATTAAATACTTAAACAGGAGGTTTCAGTAGTTATTGTTTAAATGTAAAAATGAATTTAGAAGAATCTAACTCAAATTTGAAAAGATACAAAATATATTTACATTCCAGACAAAAATGCTTCAAAAACATAATTCTAATTGAATATTAACATAACAAGGCACTCTATGGCAGATAAGTGAAAATGTACATATGCAACTACTTGTCAAAGTTTCTTGGCAACCTTTGAAGAATTTTTGAAAGGTGACTTGTTTGTGGCAAATTTTTTTTAACAATGACAAAAGTTTATAAATTCTTTGTAAAGTTCTGATATTATATTCCCTACCCTCACCCCCAAAAGTCAAAAGATTGTAAAATGACTTTCATTTAAACAGCTGAACAAGATGAAGAGTGTAGAATCTGCATAGACAGCATCTGGATCTTATTTCTTGCTATTTGTTAACTCTGAAATATATTTAAAACAAAATTAAAGATATAACAGAATTTTGGGACACAGGGTATGTCTTTAAAAAGATACAACCAAATGGAATTCCTCTGCTACAAACATGAAATCAGCTTAAAAATGGCACACTTGAAAAACATGAATAATTTGGGCATGGAAAGTTCTTAACCTTCCACAAGTAACATGCTTTGCAGTTATTGGCAATAACTTTTGCTGTTTTATTTTACATATAATGATAAATGAATAAATCATTACTAAAACTGAAATTTACTTTTAGGGTGATGTATGTATTTAAAACAAGGTAACAGGTTGGCCTTAATGATCTCTAGGGTTCTTTTTTGCAACAAATTCTAGGATTCTTTGAGTGATGGGACATTTGTGAACTGTGTGTGGCCATCACAGCTGTGTGATTCCATTAACAAATATGTGTATACATACACACATGTGTGTGTATGTGTATGTGCATGTGTGCATGGGTGTGTATATAGGAACATGTGTGTGCATGTGTATGTATGTACACTCAGGTCCATAGCATGCTACTCTTTCTTCTACTCCTTCTCTAATCACTTATAATTAAAGGTTTACATTTTCTTCTTTCAGTCTCTGTTTTTTTTTCCCTTTACATTTGGTGAATGAGCACTGATTACCAAGATTGGATAGATAAATTTGTGGAGAAAATAATAATAATAGCTAACATTTATATAGCCCTTTATAGTTTTCAAAGTGTTTTATGCATACACACATACACATAATATCTCATTTGATCCTCACAACACTCCTGTGAGGTAGGTGCTGCTGTTATTTCCATTTTACAGGTGAGGAAACCGAGGCTGGAAAGTTAAGTGACTTGCTCCCAGTGTCACACAGATAAATAGGCATGTCTGGGGCAGGAGATGAACTCAGGTCTTTCTAACTCCAAGTCCAGCACTCCCTTCACCATACCACCTAACTGCTTCAATAAATAATTAACAAGGATTCTTTCTTTAGGATTAAATCCTTGCTCTGCCACTCACTAACTATATGATCTCAAGTAAGTGCTAATTCTCTGAGTCTCAGAATCAGAGATCTCTCAGACTGCTTCTAGTGCTGAAGTTTTACGATCCTGTGGTCTACGTATGAATTTTTTGTTATTTTTAAATAATTTAAATTGCCTTGGCAGTTTTAGGAACAAGTCTAAACAAGACTGCATAAAAAAGGCGTGATAGCACCATTCTCACCGTTGTACAAACATTAACAAGGTGGAGGGACTAGACCGGGTAGGTCAAGAATTAGGACATCAATGACCGGGAGTTGGTTCTGCTATTACCTGCATGATTGTGGGCAAAGTCACTTCACCTCCCCAGGCCTCAGATTCCTTATCTATAAAATGAAGGGGCTGGACTCCAGCTTGAACAGAATATCAGATTTTATGGAACCTAAGGTTGTACAAAAATATGCAATAAAAGCAAAAGTTAGAAGGGTGATAAGAAATGTGCTAATAAGCCTCGCTAAGGTTCTCCTGTCTTCTCAGTGCAAGCGGGGTGTAGCCCTTCACCCTTCTGCCAACGTACCCATCTCTGTGGCTGCAGCAGTATCCACAGCTTCTCCCGTTTCTTCTTCCTTTGTTTCAGAGCCCTCACTCACTATCTCACTGTGCGTCTCAGTTTCCACCCTTTCTCCCGTCTCACCTGGAAACAGTAACCACAGAGATCATGATAGGATACCATTATCCAACATCAACTGATGACCAAGCAGCTTGGGCTCTGACAGAGCTTACACTTTCAGTCTCAAGAATAAGTATGAGATGGGGGGGGGGGGGGGGGGGAAAGTTAGCAGGGGGAGGGAAGAAAGGCAGTGACTGAAACCCAATCATTAGTCTTGTTCTGCCCTGAGGAAGTGTGTGCCCGGGGTAAATCACTTCCCTATAAATTCAGGATACAAAATTAAGGCTAAAACAATGACAGCAGAAAAATAAAATAAAATGAAAGCAGAGCATATGATAAAAAGGTAGAAAATCCCATGTAAATATTAATAAATAAGAAATAGTTCAAGTTTCAAATATTTATAAAAGAAGGTGATTCACTGTGAAACTGAAACATTGGCAAAATGGTAATGTGGCCCTCAACTTTTTGTTGCTGTCTGCGCAGAAAATTATTTTCTCCTTATTAAGCACACTAGGGTACCAGATATGCTATATACATAATCAAGTTAGACTCACTCCTTGAATAATGTCATACTACATTTTTTAAAAGACCCGAACACTTTAGATTTAAAATAAAATATCACTTGCATCCAGGTACAGGGGCTCTTCTCTATCCCTGTCCTAAAAGCAAAAAGAATTCTAGTGGGGCGGGGAGGCAGCCCTTGCTGTTGTTTGTCTTGAGAGGACCATGACATCAAGAAGTTGATGTCATGATTTGTAAGTGAATTGGATTTAAGTGAGGGAAGGCTGTGCAAAGTCATTAGCCTTATTTTCTCCTCCAGAGACATCTGGGTCCAGTGGCAAGATGTAGATCAGGCAACTGGAGGCAGTAGTAATGACTTTTCCAATGCCAAGTTGCTCCTCCATTTCTACACACACACACACACACACACACACACCATGACAATTTTTCCCCCTCAACTGTCTATTCTGATATTCTCCCATACCATATATAAGCTATGATCGAAGGTAAACCTGAAAAGCATCAGAATTCTAAACTTTATTTATTTGCTTCTCTGGTTTAAATATGGTGGATACAGATTGTGTTTTAGAAAAATTTCACCAAGGAACTAGATCTAATCATCGAACCAAGATGACAGAACAGAAGTTCTAATGAGGAAAAGTAGTTTTCCACTCCCAGCAACCTAAGATGTGGTTTTGGGTGACTATATTACAGCCTAGACACTTGGGTATGACTTTCCAGATGGCTGTCCTTATAGAATTCAGGGCTTAAATAGTTTGAATTTTGAACAACAGAACCATTACCTTCAATTGCTTGGTTCTCTTCATTCATGTTAATTTCCCTGGCTACTTCCATCCATGGCTTCATGTCTTCCTGTGTCCCTTCAGCTATTATGGGAGGTTTAGTGCCTCCAACTGTTTCTACCAACTGAGTCTTCTCCACTCTTTCAGGAGGTTCAGTGCCTCTAGCTGTTCTGGAGTAGTTGTTCTTTCCAGGAGCTCCAAGAGGCTGAACCTCCCCAAGTATTTCTGGAAATTCATTGTCTTCAACTGTTCCCTGAAAGTTGTTCTTTTCACCTGTTACCAGAGTCACCTTTTCCATTGTTCCTGAAGGTTTGGTCTCTCCAGCTGTTCCCTCATGCTCAGCCTCTTCCATCACTCCCGAAGGTTTGGTCTCTCCAGCTGTTTCCTCATGCTCAGCCTCTTCATGTGTTCCTGAAGGTTCAGTTTCTCCAGCTGTTTCCTCATGCTCAGTTTCTTCACATGTTCCTGCAGTTTTGGTCTTTCCAGCTATTCCCTCCTGTTCAGTCTCTTCCAGTGTTCCTGAAGTTTCAGTCTCACCAGCTGTTCCCACATAATCGTTCTCCTCTGACACTCCTGTCTTTCTATCAGTATCTACATGCTGAGTATCTTCCACTGTTTCTTGAGGTTCAGCCTCTTCAGATGTTATCAGGTGCTTATTCTCCTTCGTTGTTCTTTGGGGCTCAACTTCTTCAGCCACTCCTAGATGCTCATTATGTTCTCCTGTTTCCATAGGTTCTACTTCACTAGCTGTTATCAGTGGTTTAATCTCCTTTATAGTTCCAAATATTTCAGTCTCGACAAAATTTCCTACAGGCTGAGCGCCTTTCTCAATTTCCCTGTTATCCTTTTCATCTGTTCCTGGAAGTTCGTTTTTTCCAGCAGATATGGGTGGCACAGACTCCTCGGATGCTCCTGGATTCTTAGCTTTATCTGTTGATTTCAGATACTCTGCTTGAGCTTTTTCCTCAGAGCCTGGAGACTCTGCCTTCTCAGGATGTTCCTCTTCACAGGTGGAACTAGCACCATCAGTTGCTAATGGCTTCACAACTCTGGGCTCCCCAGCTAGAAGGTGGTTGATTGGTCCTGTTTTGTCACTAACATCAACTTTTGCTTCCACTGCACACTGTTTTGTCTTGTCGAGGCAAATTTCATTTTCATGTGGGATTGAAGAGTTTCCATCTTTGGATCATTCATTTTACATGAAAAAGAGAACAAATAATCATTATTAATATAATACTATAGAAAAGCAAATCAGGATTACAAGTACTTAATAGTTCAAACTAGTTTAGTTGTAGGTAGTATTTGGGACAACCAATTTATGTCCACTACTTCAAATATCCTCTACATCAAACTTAACTTTCTTATCCTAAATTTGGAGTTTCTTCATACCTACCTGTTAATCTTGTCTCTCTCCCTACTCCACACCCCCACCCCACATTCTTTCTTATGACTCTTCCCCTACTTTTGTCATTTGGCACATTTTTCTAACTCTTTCCTTCTGCAGGTTTTTTCTCCTGTCTCTTTAGGAATAGAATAGGATTTCACAAAGTCTGATCCTAGGAGGGATTCTTAGAAACTCCTTTATCTTTTGTGAGAAGTCCTCAGTGACAGAAGATGTCATCGAGCATGAAGATGGCATAGAAACTTTCAGGAGTAGAGACTAAATCAGGTAAACAATTCTGAAAGGAAGGGAAAAGAAGCTACCACCTTTACTGAACTTCACCATATTCTCACCAATCGATTTATCTCAGGTTATCAGAGATCATGCCCTCGAAGATTTAAATTTTCAACTTTGCAATTCCCAACCTGGAGCCCTTGCTGTCTTTACCGTATTGACAAGTGCTTCTGGTAGCCCACTCACTATAGCTAAGCAGCCTCAAGCCATACTTTACTGCCCCATCTTCATACCAGCCATGGTACTATTATTATTGTACTCTTCTCGAATCAATATTGCCATTGCTGTTGGAAACCGAGTGTCAATCTATTCTGTTACGGCTCCACTGTCATCTCATCTCTGTAACTTCCACATCAAAATACCTCTCCCTGGTCACCATTCTCCTATTATGTTACTTCCTCCATAAGAATGTAAACTTCTTGAGGGTAGAGATTGTCTTCACTTTTGTATTTGAATCCCCAGCCCTTAGCACAGTTTTTAACACATATTAAGAGCTTAAAAATGGGGTTTTTTTTGGTTGTTGTTCATTCATTCATACTTAGATTCCCATTTGGAGGACTGTATGATATGTGGTGTGATAGAAAAAGAACTGAATTAAGAATCAGGAATTATAGATTTTATTCCTGGCCATGTTACTAACTAGCTGTGTAACCTCGGGCAAGTCACTTAACCCTCACCAAATCTGTTTCCTTATCCGTAAAACAGGAATCATGATACCCCTCCACACACACACACCTCAAAGTTGTTTAATTAATATTATAAGAGGTAGAAGTTGAACTGTTTGGGAAAGAATAGAGTGAGATATACAATTCCTGGGGGAAATTATGGCTTCTTTCTTTTTTAGGCCCTTAACATCTCTCTCAGCTGTTTCTGACATTTTGCTTCTCTTATGGGAATCACAGACTACATCTCCATAATACCCATAATGCTTGGAACTTTTTGCCCACAATTACAAGTGAGCAATAACATTTTAGCACATTTCCAACTTACATTTTTTCATCAAAAGAATGCTTATTATGGCAGCAGCAATAGGGGAGGTACCGTGGAAGACCCAGAGATAAAGAAAATATGGTCTGTACTTTGGAGGAATTTACAGTATCTTAGGGGGAGGTAAGGCAAATCCACAAAAACTACAGGACAAGACAAAGTATATTAACTTCTATTAACAAATTGGTCTAATGGAATACTATTGTGCTATAAGAAATGACAAGCAGGATGAGTTCAGGAAAACCTGGAAAGACTTACATGAACTGATGCAGAGTGAAGTGAGCAGAACCAGGAGAACATTGTGCACAGGAACAGCAATATTGTATAATGAACAACTCTGAAAGACTTAGCTATTTTAAGCAATACAATGATCCAAGACAATCCCAAAGGAATCATGATGAAAAATGCTATCTGCCTCGAGAAAGAACTGATGGAGTCTGAATGCAGACCAAAGCATGCTTTCTCTCTCTCTCTCTTTCTCTCTCTCTCTCTGTGTTCAAGTTTTCTTTCACAAAATGACTAATATGGAAATATGTTTTACATGATTGCACACATATAACCTATATCAGATTGCTTGCTGTCTCAAAGAGGAGGGAGGGAGGAAGAGAGGGAGAAAATGTGGAGCTCAAAATTTAAAAAAAACACAAATGTTAAAAATTGTTTTTACATGTAATTAGGGAAAATATAAAATATTATTAAAAAACAAATTGGTCTAAAAAATAAAATCAAAGTATATAGGGACCATGGTCTCAATCAGGGGTTCTTAACCTGGGGTCTATGAACTTTTTTGGTTTGTTTTTTTTTTTGTTTTGTTTTGTTTTGGCAAGGCAATTGGGGTTAAGTGACTTGCCCAGGGTCACACAGCTAGTAATTGTTAATGTCAAGTGTCTGGTCTGAGACCGCATTTGAACTCAGGTCTTCCTGACTCCAGGGCTGGTGCTCTATCCACTTCACCAGCTAGCTGCCCCCTGAACTTTTAAAAAAATATTTGGATAACTGTATTTCAATATAATTGACTTCCTTTTTAATTATTTGTATTTTATTTTATGCATTTAAAAACATTTTTCTGAGGTGTCCCATAGGCTTCACCAGACAGACAAAAGAGTCCATGACACACAAAAAAAGGTGAAAAATTCCTGGTTTAGATGTTTACTATAGTATACACATAGAGCATGCTCAAAAATGATAGAAATTAGAGCCAAGGGCTTTCTTAAAAAAAAAAAAAATCAGGGCAGAGCCAAGATGGCAGAGGGAAAGCAGTAACTTGCTTGAACTCTCCCCCAAACCCCTCCAAATACCTATAAAAAAATGGTTCTAAACAAATTCTAAAGCAGCAGAACCCACAAAAAGACAGAGTGAAAAAAATTTCCAGCCCAAGACAACCTGGATGGTTGATCAGAAAGGTGTATTGCACCGTGCAGGGAGAGGAGCGCAGTGTGGTGTGGGCACGCAGGCCGCAGCAACCCTGGAGCAGGCTGAAGAGGACTGAATTGTGGGCAGCTGTGGTGGTTTCCAGACTTCTCAACCCACCAACACCGAAGACAACTTAGAAGGTCAGTGGGAAAAGTCTGTGATGCAGTGAGATAAGAAGCTAGGTCTCAGCCGTAAGTCCCGAGGTTGGACTGAAGCTGTTTTCTGAGCTTCTGGCCCACAGACTGAGGGGGACTCCAGTGGCAGATCAGAGGGGGATTGCAGGGATCTCTTTGCCAGGGCTGAGGTGGGAATCTCTTGCTTTGCCCATGCTTGGATCTGGGTCACAGTTCTGGGTGGCAGTCCTGGGGCAAGGAGGAGTGCTGGCATGGTGGAGCTTGTTGTGGTGGTGGGGAGGAAACATCTTGCGCCTTATCATACCACCTTGGAGGAACTGAAAATTTACAGGTCCCTAGAAGTAGCTCTAAAAACAGCTGTACAAACCCCTGAAGCTTGGGACAGTACATTCTTCACATTGGAAGCGGACTCTTACCTTAACAAAGAGTTTAAAACTCAAGTAATTGGCTGGGATCATGAGCAAACCTCACAAAAAGAGTCAGACTATATTATCTTACTTTGGTGACAAAGGAGATCAAAACATACAACTAGAAGAAGACAACAAAGTCAAAGCTCCTACATCCAAAGCCTCCAAGAAAAATATGAATCAGTCCCAGGCCTTGGAAGAGCTCAAAAGGGATTTTGAGAAGCAAATAAGGGAAGTAGAGGAAAAACTGGGAAGAGAAATGAAAGTGATGCAAGAAAATCATGAAAAACAAGTCAACAGTTTGCTAAAGGAGACCCAAAAAAATACTGAAGAAAATAACACCTTAAAAAATAGCCTAATCCAAATGGCAAAAGAGGTCCAAAAAGCCAATAAGGAGAAAAATGCCCTAAAAAGCAGAATTTGCCAAATGGAAAAGGAAGTCCAAAAGTTTACTGAAGAAACTACTTCCTTAAAAATTAGAATGGAGCAATTGAAAGCTAGTGACTTTATAAGAAATCAAGACACTGTAAAACAAATCCAAAAGAATGAAAAATTAGAAAACAATGTGAAATATCTCATTGGAAAAACAACTGACCTGGAAAATAGATCCAGGAGAGAGAATTTAAAAATTATTGGACTATCTGAAAACCATGATCAGAAAAAAGAACCTAGACATCATCTTTCAAGAAATTATCCAGGAAAACTGCCCTGATATTTTAGAACCAGAGGGCAAAATAGAAATTGAAAGAATCCACCAATCTCCTCCTGAAAGAGATCCCCAAAGGAAAATTCCTAGGAATATTGTAGCCAAATTCCAGAGTTCCCAGGTCAAGGAGAAAATATTATAAGCAGCCAGAAAGAAACAATTCAAGTATTATGGAAACACAATTAGGATAACACAAGATTTAGCTGCTTCTATATTAAGAGACTGCAGGGCATGGAATATAATATTCCAGAGAGCAAAGGAGATAGGATTACAACCAAGAATCACCTACCCAGCAAAACTGAGTATAATCCTTCAGGGTAAAAAATGGTCATTCAGTGAAATAGAGGACTTTCAAGGATTCTTGATGAAAAGACCAGAATTGAATAGAAAATTTGATTTTCAAATACAAGACTCAAGTGGAACATGAAGAGGTAAACAGGAAAGAGAAAATCATAAGAGACTTTTTAAGGTTGAACTGTTTACATTCCTGCATGGAAAGATGATATTTATAACTCATGAGACCTTTGTCAGTATTAAGGTAGTTGGGGGGAAAAAATTATATGTATGTATAGATAAATATAGATAGATAGAGGGCACAGGGTGAGTTGAAAATGAAGGGGTCATATCTGGAGAATAAAATTAAGGGGTGAGAGAGGAATATACTAGAAGGAGAAAGGGAGAGGTAGAATGGGGTAAATTATCCCACAAAAAAAAAACAAAAACAAAAGAAAAGGCTCTTACAGTGGAGGGGAAACAGGGGAAGGTGAGAGGGAATTGAGTGAATCTTATTCTCATAGGATTTGACTTAAGGAGGGAATAACATACACACTCAATTGGGTATGGAAATCTGTCTTACC